AGTAATATTACTCAAAGTCGTTTAATACAATCGCAAGTACAAGGACGTGAGGACTTAAATGGATTTGGTGATTTCCATTTTATGTTCGTTAGTAACATTGAATAAGTTGGTATATTGACAATGCTGCAATTGTAATATTCTTGTCTAAAACTGAACTTAAATGTTTTCTGGGCATCATTTCAATACACTGGCTTGTAAGTTATTGGACATATCACTAATTCATTTGTTCCTCTCTTGTGGCTCAGCAGTGAGTTTGAAAGCTTATAACAATAAAATTCGGAGTTCGATCACATCCCCACACAAAGAACACACAATATCCGTTAAATTTGTTCGTAATTACCTGTACACTAAGAGAGCGTCACAAACAATGTTTTAACCCACCGTGCAATACACTGGAAATGTGGATATTTAAACTTGGAGACAGGAACTAAAAAAAGCTATAATATATATTGCAATGCAGTACTGACCAAAACTTGACAGCATTTCTACAGTGGATTACACAAAGTTGACGACTTTTCATTTATTGGACTTAAAAAGGTATCCATTAACGCCGAATAAAAGAGAACGATTTAAAACTAAGGTCATTGAAAAGCTTGAGTTGACACAGCCAGATGGAATAAACGAACATTTTCGTTTATTAAGTTAGTATATGCTTTAGCTGTTTCGTTATCAATATATTTTTATTATGTATATATGTGTATCGTATAATCTCCTATCTCTTATCGTCCAGTCCCCCGGTGGGACATCGGTAAGTCTTCGGATTTACAGTACTAAAATCAAGGGTTCGATTTCCCTCGTTGGACACAGCAGTCCCCCGGTGGGACATCGATAAGTCTTCGGATTTACAATACTAAAATCAGGGGTTCGATTTCCCTCGTTGGACACAGCAGTCCCCCGGTGGGACATCGGTAAGTCTTCGGATTTACAATACTAAAATCAGGGGTTCGATTTCCCTCGTTGGACACAGCAGTCCCCCGGTGGGACATCGATAAGTCTTCGGATTTACAATACTAAAATCAGGGGTTCGATTTCCCTCGGTGGACATAGCAGTC